CAGTAAGCCAGTCGACACTCTAGTCAATAATCAGTCCGTAACAAATGCTAAAATTCCTCGCTCCATTAAGTTTCGTTACATGATCGCTTGCGACTATTTTTCACCTTAGCATAACACCACTACTAAAACTGAAAGGAAGAATATGTCTCCATGGACTGTTGGACATAAATTTTAGAATATCTGCAATGAATTAATTACACTTCTGTACTCTCTTGCTATTCTCCTTCGCAATATTCCACTATCCAGGGCGATAATTCAACAAGGCATAACCCCTAATTTGATGGATTTGTGTACACCATCCAAATTCTGGTGTAAAATTTTTGTCTTGAGAATAAGTATTCTAACTTATTTTATTTCTTTACGGGATAGTGTGGGGAGAAAATGTCAGAATGATAGACCGGAATAACTAACATCAAGCCTGCTGAGCCTGTACGCTTCCCCCGCGACTAATCTGACGATTCCCTGGCGAAATCTGATAATCTCCATTTTCTTATCCACAGGCAAAACGAAAAAATTCAACCTCAGGACGGGAAAAGTTTAAACCTTTATTCACAATTTTATCCTATGTGAGCCGGGGACGACTATTCCTCATCTCCATTGCTTCAAGACTGATACGTGGATCTTTCTTAGCTGGATCGCCTTTCCAAATTTACTTCAGTCAATCCTGTCTACGGGTGACATTCTTAGACTTTAATCATCAGCTATCAATTAAGATCATCTAAAAATGTCCGTTTTTAAATGTTCCAGCAATCTCAATGGGTACGTGAAAATTCATTATTATGTCTACATTTCAAGTTTACATTTGCCATAACTTTACCCGTATTACCTACGTTGAACTGAAAACAAGTGCATCTTATACTCAGACAAATCAAGGAACAGTTCGCATTTCAATATTGCCGACTTCACGCTTTTTCGACCTTCCTGTGGTTTTCAGACGAGACTATTAGCTTAGTTAAAGCTTCGAATACTATTAGAGCAAAACTTCATTTGATGATCACAGCAGTTCTTTCTTTACGCACTTCAGGTAGCATGAATCGTCATTTACAGAACGTCAAATATCTGAACGGGACCGATATCAAGGCGAAGTACTGCACAGTTCGTTCCGCAGAGTCGCTAAAGTTAGTCGAAATCTCGGCCTCTCTTATGCTTCTCTTACACTATGATAGACGTCATTGATGACAGTTTTGCAATAGGCTTATTGTTATTCCAGTACCATTGGCCAAAGGTGTTTTATCCGTAGGACATTACTTACTGCTAGGCAACTACTCGAGGCTCGCTTGCATCTTCGAACGATGTTATACTGGAATATCTAGATCGGAAGGACGCAAGGTGAATTGCCCGGCAGGCATTCTAACTGTCATACTTTTGCTCTATCGACTGAACAACTCTGAGTTTGCATGACTGGGTGTCATTATGGTAACCATGAAGGCCTGACATCGAAGACGGATGAGAACGACTGGACTGAAGATCATTCGTTTTTTCCAGACACTTCTTTGCTATCTTGCATGTTTTAAGTTCTTTCTTATTGTTCATATTCATAACTGTTTTGCTCGCTTGAACTGCAGTGTCACGTACAAAAAAGCGTGATGAATCCAAATTTTAAAAAAAAGATGGAACTTATTGTTCCCATTTAGCGAGTAAAGCGCAAATACCGAAAGCCATAATGGCCGCATCGACGTTATGCCAGTCTGGATGCTTGATATTTTCGTTTATGAACGGCAAAGTCGAAGCAACCACATCATCTCCGACGCACTGCGCCATCAGCATCAGGCACACGCTGGCCGCCTTTGACGGTACCCACTCGTCTTCATCCTCATTTTCATCCTAATCGATGCAAAAGGCGTTCATCAACATTCGGCACGGCGTACAGCAAAAAATCAAAATGATTTCACTTGTTTCGCCAACGTCGCTGTAAGCACGGGAACGATATGCGGCAGTGCCCCTTTGGCGTAATACTTGCTGACATGCATAGGAGGTTTGCCGTGTTCGGCCGCCTCACTAGCCTCAAAACTCAACTCGATTTCCTCATCGCAGACGTTTGACCAGAATTCGATTCCCTGAAGAGCGATGTTCTCAATCGGTGACTTCATCGCCTCCAAGGTAATCTATAAAATTGATACACAGTTGCACTTCGATCAAGGGAACGACAAGATAGGTAGAAGCAATAACAGAGCCGTCCTATCGAGGTTGAAAAAAATTCCGCTTACCGCAAACAGGGCCTTCGACATGTAATGTTCCATATACTGGTAGTACAGACTCATTATCCGAACTAAGCACTGCAGAGCGGCTACCCGAACTTCGGTGTATTCGGCTTGCGTCGCCTCGCACACCACCTGCATGATCACGTTGCGTTCGTTCTAAACAGTTCGCGTGTCGGTTGTTCACTTCCAGCTCGGTCAGTATACGGCTATCAATTACTTCTTTCTCAAAGTTGGTCGTCGTGAACTCCAACGAGTTCAGCAGCGCTTGCGTAGCCACCAGGCGTATGTACGACGATGTCTCTTCCTTGCGCATACCATAAACGATTGCCGTCAGGATCTCATCTGCGCCACTACCAAAAACCGACGGATCCTGCAACAACGGTGAAGCGATGACGAATATTCGTTGGTCGTTCAATGAATTTATGAAATCAATTCCTACCACATCCTGGCATATGTATCCAAGAGCTTCCAGCGATGCGCCCTTTAAAGTTTCTGTACTGCTCGGATGCGTAACGTTCTGCATCAACTGCGTTACGCATTCGCGCCAGTAGCCATGCGGCAATTCTGCACAGGCAATGCTGGCAACGCACTGCGCAGCAATTGAAGGTTTCGTCGTTTCGGTTCCAAGAGCGCTCATTGACTGGAAACGAAAAAACACGTGTACAACAGCTACACTAGAAACACGCTTATCCACTAATTATCCTTCTGAAAAATCGTTCGTCGACCTCTGAAAACTTAATCGACACATTTATATCGGGAATAAGGAACAACGAACAAGGTAGGCTATTACATGCCAGGTCAAGGTACGAAGGGAACACTAACCTACAGTTCCAACGGTAACCATATAAGATTGTGAAGAATGTGTACATATCGATGATGAATTCTGT